CTCGAAGACTCTGGAGCGGGCCGGGTCTCGGTGCACTCGAGAACCCGGCTGATTTCGCTATCCTAAACGGCCTCATGCCCCCTGAAGGTCGTAGCGGAGTCCAGGGACTGTTACCAAGAACCTCCAGCCCCTGTCCATTTGAGCTTCGTCTGGCCAGTCAGTGCAGCCGGGACCGGGTTGGACGGGATCGGTAGCCTCTAAGCCGCATCGCTCGGTGTTGCCGTCGTTAGGCCAACGCTATTGCCCTTCAGATACGCAAATTAGTCATAACCCTGGGTTACCCTGGTGGCGCTTGCGATGTTAGTCGGTCTCGTTCCCCGTGGAAAGTTCACCTCTTTGTGACGCGGGAATTTACCACGTCACAATATATAAAAATGTAGTTTCCATAACAAAACATGGTACAAACGGAAGAAAAAGTAAAAAAAAAATAAGTGACTCCTACCGGGATCGAACCGCTTCCAGCGCAAAAGATCGCCTTCGCAATATGGCATTCTATTGACTGTGCCACGCTGCTTCTATAATACCTCCGACTCTTATACGGTTGACACTCATCAATCGAAATTTAGCTATTTTTAAAAATTTATTTATCGATAACGAAAGAAAGCCGCGCCTTCTCACTTGCAGAGATTGTCCTACATACCCTTCTTTACATATGAAAGATTAAATAATTCGGGGTACACTAGGCAATGTCTCCTTGTAAGCTATGTGAACGTGGGACCTGACTTAAAAAATTAACTTTTTTTTACGGAAAATGATAGTATTTTGTTTGCAGTTTCATAAATTGATAAATAAAACAAAATTGTAACAACCTAATACTAAAATCGAAACGAAACACTATCATTTTCCGTAAAAAAAAGTTAATTTTTTGGCAGTTGGATGTCAGGTTCACATACCCTAGTAGCACAAAATATTGAATACATATTCATCCAATAGAAGAGATTGAATCTTATTTTAATATTTAAATATACAGCACGCTCCGTCCATGTGTGCCGCATCCAGAGGATTAAATCTCCACTCCATACGGTGTTTCAGCGCGTGTTTTCGCAGCTCACCCGCATCGATGGTCGCGACCGCTTCTCGGAGCTCTCTGCTCGCACCCTTGAAATTAGTGCCATTGTCGCTATACATAACTTTTGGCGAGCCTCGCCGTGCCGCTAAACGTTGCAACGCCATGATGGGTGGAACTGGCCCTAAGGTTGTGCGCTAGCTCGAGGTGCATCGCCCTCGTGGTAAGGCACGTAAAGATGACTTCCCAGCGCTTCTCTCGACGGCGGCCTATCTTAACAAGTATGGGACCGAAATAGTCAATGCTGCAGTGGCTAAACGGCCTCTCCCGATACGCTAGCCTGCCCGGCGGGAGATTCGCCATCATCGGACTTCGCGGTTTGCTCCTTCGAAGACGACATATTAGGCATGTGCTTGATAATGAGCGTAACGCGTTTCGAAGCCCCACTACGTGATATTTTTGCCTTATTTCATTTATCACCGTTTCATTGCTTGCATGGTAAAAACGACGATGATATTCAAATATTAGCAATTTAGTCTCTGGGTACTTACTGTCGAGTATTATTGGATCGTTCCTGAACTCCGTGTCCAATTGTGTTGTCACCCTTCCGCTCGCTCGCAGGAAGTGATGTACGTCAATGAACGGTCGCAGCGAGGCAATCTTGCTGTGCGTTTTCACCCTACCTTTTTTCTTCAGATCCTCCAACTCTGCTGCAAAACAGTCCATTTGTATCCTACGTATCCAAAAGCTTTCGACGGAAATCACATCAGCGACCGTTATATTTACCCGACGTCTCCTCCTCCAGCGATCTGTCGCATTTTTAACGCGCTTGCCTACAACTAGCAGACCCGGCCACCCCAGAAATTTTGCGGTTGTAGGTAGTGACATCTTCGCCATGGACACAACATACGCAAACGCTTTTCTCAATTCCAATCGGCCGATATCTCTCTTTTCAGTTTCGTCCAGAGGTTTTTCTACCGGCCAACTCGAATCCGATCCTCGCAGAAATTCCGGGCCTACGAACCATTGATCATTTTTGTGCAACGACCTGTTTTTCCACTTTGTCGCGTCGTCCGCAGGATTTAGTTTCGAAGGGACCCACCGCCACTCGGTACTTTGCGTTAGTTCCTCGATTTCACCAAATCTGTGCGCGACGTAGACTTGACGCGTGCGTGGCTCCGTTTTTATCCACCGCAGTACCGTCGTGGAATCAGTCCACATGTATCGCCGCGTCACGTTTATGTTAAGTTCGTCTGATACCATCTTTGCCAACCTTGATCCTAACAACGCCGCCTGCAACTGAAGAGAGCCACGCGCGCCGCCTCATTGTTGATCACGAATCGCAAATAGGCCACGGCCGCGCAGGCTTTCGGGCTGGCGTCGCTGAAGACGTGCAACTCGACATTTGCCTCACGATGTCCTAGCAATGCGTAGCACCTTGGTATACGGCATGCCCGAACTTTGTGGAGATGCCTGATCCAAGATTGCCATCCGACGTGCTCTTCATCGCGTAGTTCCGAGTCCCAGCCAATGCCGCTGCGCCAGACATCTTGCATAAGTATTTTTGATATTAGGGTGAAAGGGGTAAGGAACCCTAGCGGATCAAAAACCGACATGATCACCCGGAGGAGTTCGCGCCTTGTTGGCCTATCTACGCCTGTGCGTAATCTTTTGGGAATCTTCGACAACCCCGCGTTGAATGCCAGCTCGTCGAGTTGCGTATCCCAGAAGAGCCCCAAAACACTTTCTCCCCCTCGATCGCAAAGTCGCGTTTCCCGCTGGGTCCCGCTTTTTCCTCCTGTTACAGCTATCTCCAGCGCGCGTGCATCGTTGCTGGCCAAACCATGCATTGCAAAGCCGGCATTGGCGTTTATTTGTACGACATCGCGAATTACGTTCCTCGCTTCTGTTACTGTTCGCCTACTCGCGAGGTAATCATCCATGTAACAATCCGAGACCACACTTTTCGCCGCGACTGGTTTGCACTCACTAAACGTCTCCGCATTTTTATTTTTAACGAACATCGCACTACACGGAGACGATTTTGCTCCGAAGACCAAACAAGTCATCTGGTACTCATCGGGTTTGCCACTACGGTCACTCCCGCGGCACAAAAATGTCTGCGCGTTGCGATCGTTTTCTCTCATCTTTACCCTTAGGAACATATCCTGAATGTACCCTTTAAACGCGATCGCGTGTTGTCGGAATCTAAGCAGAACGCCAGCCAGTGACCGCAATAAATCTGGACCAGAGTCGAGCTGATCATTCAGACTCACGCCTGCCGTCTTGGCTGCGGCGTCGAAGACCAACCTCACTTTACCCGGTTTATTAACACTTTGTACGCCAAAATGCGGTAAGTACCACGACCTCATACCCTTTGATTTTTTGTCTACTTTTCGCGCGTACCCGTTTTCGATGAGCCGACGCATTTCTGCATAATAAGGACGCGCGTATTCCGCAACTCGATCTAGCCTTTTTTCCAAAGATGCGAGTCGCTTTCGTGCCGTAGTTTTGCTGTCTACGTCTAACGGGCGAGTTTCTTTCCACAGAAGCCTCGTTTCCCAACCTTCCTCTACACGTTTGGTGGTTTCGGTTAGTGTTTTAAGCGCTCGCCCAAGTTCTTTGCTAGGCCTTGCTTCGTGATACACCTCGAGAGAGTCAAGAGAAAAATAAAACCTAATCATATCGTCAAGACGATCGTCCTCAATCTGCGCTACCGATTCGACCGACTCCAGTCCTCTGTTCACCGTTGACATCGCGCACACGTCGCGACTCGCATCCAGCTGGTCGGTGGTCCCGTGGGGTATCCAGCCTAGCCACGAGCGAGACAAAACAACTCCGCTACCTTCCAATTCGCGCAGTTCTCTTGATACGATTAGCTCCCAGTTGTTCTGGCCTATGAGCAACTTCGGCTGCGCGTTGATATATGGTCTTATGTCTACATCCTCCCTGGATTTTACGAAATGTACAAGCTTCTCTGAAACAGATTGGACAGGTAGGCTCAAATTCGGGACTGCTAGAACATGTGAAATCAAGAAATAATTTCCATTAAGTGCACGCACTTTGACGTCAACTTTCTCGCTGTTCATTACGATAGTCTCCCGCGCGTTAATTCCTTGTAATTTTAGTCCTATGCAGGTACCTCGTATACCCGTGCGCTTACAGACTTCTTTGTCTACCAAGGTGACAGTGGAACTTTCGTCTAATAACGCGAACGTTTCTATAGTATTTCCCTCGCCTACGATGCAGATTGGAACGATCTTTAGCAATACACGAGTTCTACTTAGTCATGCGTCGTTTCTTGCGTATGACTCCGCCTCACCGAATTTTGTAGGGAGTGTGCTCTTGTTTGTCCCTCTGACTCTGCTCGGTCCAGAGCCCCTTACTACGTCCATTCTCTTGTGCATACATGTAATACATACCAGTATTGGTATGCATACCAGTAGTGCATACCAGTAATACATGGTGGCACTTGTTACACTCGCGGCATTTTCCCTTATCGCAATCTTCTCTATTGTGTCCGGGATTTAAGCACATATAACACACGCGGTATTTCCTACATAGATACCAGCGACGGTTTAGTGTTTCCCGAGCGAAACTCCAACATTCCGATAAAAGGTGATTTGACCTCTCACAATACAAGCATCTAGCCGCGAGCCCCGTAGAGCCTGTCCAACGCTCCGCTTTGGTTTCCTCGTGAGCTATGGAGTATGTCATCTCTATTCGAGCCGGTCTAACCGCCTTCTTGACCTTCTCCCCCGCCGGCCTTCCCGTGGCTACCGACGTTCCTGAAGAAAACACTTCCGCAGTCGCAGCGAACTGCGCTTCTCTAAACATGAAATCTGCCAGCATTTCGAGCTCAGATTCAGGCTCAGTCATTTCCGCCACGTATCTATTAAAAGCATATTTTAACGCAGACGGCATTCTACCCGCGACGCTTGATACCAGATCCGGACTGTGGAGGTATCCTGTACATTTTAAGGCGTTAAACGCCACTACCGCATTTCGCAATTTTGTCGAAAATTGCATGAGAGTAATTCGTCCGGAATCTAAGTCTGGCATTGCATTCAGATTGTTGATTACGTTCTGCGCGACTAGTCTTTTATCGCCAAAGTGAAGCTCAAGCGTCTGCATTATTGCTCTCGCATCCCGGCACGTGGCCAAAAGCGTTTTCACTACCTCGCGCGCCTCGCCTTTCAACCCTTCGAATAATTTCGAGACGTTTTCACGATCGTTATACCCGCCTAATTCGGTAGATAGTTCAAAAGCCTCCTTAAAGTGAAACCATTCTAACGGGTCTCCCGAGAACTCTGGCAATTTCTTTGACGACACTAATCGATTGGCCAAACGGGCGCTTTCTTTTGCCATGGTCGAATCACGAACTGCCCTCAGGGTCGCTTCTATCGCCTCTGAAATTCGCACAAACGGATCCACTCGGATGGCCTCGATGTTCAAAACGTTAGGCTATTTCACTTGTCGAGGAACGCTGTCGAAACGCGCGCGGGCCCTATTGTCCCTACATGCTGCCACTTCGGCAGATGTCGATGGTTGCCCTTCAACTTCGAAATCCTGGACCGACGTTGTTGTTCCGTTGACACGACGAGGCACATCGTCTTCTGGACGACAGGTTTCTAGGCCTCCTATCACAGCCGTTTCAGGACCATCGACATTTGTGGGTCCGCGCCCAGGCAATTCTGGCTCCCGCGAAGGACCAGCGCTCACATTCCGTGCGCTCAGATCACGGGGGGTCGACCGCGTGTCCGGAGAGTAGCTCCCTTTTTATTTTCTGAGGAGCGGCGCTTCCTCACTTGCGGCTCGTTCACCGCTACCGCCCTCGTTGCACGCCTCTTGCTCGTAGACATGGTACTCCCTAACACTGGCGAACGATTCAAGTTACTCATGCCAAGTGCCTCTCCACGACGTCGCCGCTCACACGCACCAACACACAAAACAAAACTATAAGAACCCGATAATAGAAGTCCCGGGTTTCGGCACCAGTTTTGTAACTCACAAGAACAAAAGGAAATTTTCGAAAGGAGAAAAAAAAGCAAAATTTGGTTTCGTATATCTTTATGAAAATTTAATCGTATGAGGTAAGCGCTTGGAGAGCTCGGGCGCAACTGGCCCGTCTCCGTGATACCCTCTCCGTGATACCCTTCCCTTTTGGCAAAATTTCTAATGGCGCGAACATTCATGCCTGCGTAGGGTAGCCTGACGGCCCCGGATCGACCATCGGGTCGACCCGTGCTCGTTTACCTGCATAACCGAGCGCAGTTTGCGACCCTATCGAGATTTATTCTGGCCTAAGGACTGATGTCCTTATCCGTATCGCTTACAAGGCCGTCGGAAACGTAGGTTTTCTGAAAGTTCTTCTCTCAAATAAAATATATACCTACGCTCTCACTCTCCATGCGCTACCTTTAACATCATTACTTAAATATCCCGGATACATACATCTCGATGTTAACAAAGTACCCTTCCACAATAGACAAGTATGTTTGATGCCTTATTCGCCTCCATTTTCGAAATAACTTTATTTACCACATTATTAACCATATACCAAATTACTGAAAAAACATCAAATATATAACACCGATAACGGAACAAAGTATAACAACCGAAATGTTGGATCTGTCTGCAACAAACGGCAACATCGCAATTGTATCGACATCACGTTAGCAGTCGTCCTCAGTAAGCGCCA